TGTGTGTGTGTGTGTGACATGATATTCAGAAAAACTCCAATACACATAAAAATAAGTGAATCATGTATACATATACACACACACATATCACACACACACCTTTTTCTGGAGCTAGAGTAACAGACAGCTGTCAGTTGTCATGCAGGTGCTGGGAATCAAACCCAGGTCCTCTGGAAGAGCAGCCAGTACTCTTTTCCACAGAGGCCTCTCTCCAGCCTAGAATGTTTTAGAGGAGAGTACTGTGTGGAGTCTGGCATAATCCACTTTTCTGAATTTCATTCGTTTATTTATTTTTGCATTTATGCATTTATTTATACAGGGGCAACTGGGTACACTGGGCAAGCCATTACAGTCTTTCATTACATAAAAACAGGGAAGTTAGAAGGCTATATTTTCATTTAAAGAAATACTTTTTTACCTACTTTGTTTTTTTATTTTTATAGTACAGTACCCATAAATATGAATTAACAGCAAAGCAGGGACTTCCAAAGCAGACAGAATTGCTATGTAAGCGTATTGAATAGTAGCTTTTTCTTATGCCTTTCCCTTCCCAATGCTCTGGGCAGGCAAGATGTTCAGAGTACTAACATAGAGCCAGTCACGCAGGGCCCAGTTGTCATGGGCACACTGTCAGAAATACAAATGAACACACTCATATCTTTGTACAACATCAAAAGTCACTGAAAAACAACAAAATCACAAGGTTTATCAGTTCTACTGGGAGCCATTTGCCAGGGATTCTCAAGTTCCTCTATTGACAGCTGAAGCAAACGTGGGTTCTTTTATTTAAATTTTAATTACAGATATTAATTCTCAGACCACACATTACTTACACATCACACAGTAACCCCTCCTCCATGGGCGTATGTAGGTTACAGAATGCCTACAAAGGGTTAAAGTAGCTACACCAAAGTACTAGAGTCTCAAAGAGGCCAGGCCGAGCATCTGTGGAGGGCCAGGGGTGGTAGTGGGCCAAGCAGATAACTAACCTGTTAGAGATATGCCCGAGCTGCTGAGTCAGGCTGAGTCCGGGCAGCTGCTGGGGTCAAAGTTGCATTGAGCATCAGGGTCGGGTCAAGCTGCAGAAATGCAGTGTGGGACCATGGAGGCCACAGAGGTGAAGAAAAGGTCAGATCCAGACAGCTGAATGAACAGTCAGAAATTAGTCTGTGCCGTCTTGGACAGTAGGGAGTCACACACCAGGAAGTCAGATGAGGGGTGGGTGGGCAAAGCATTGGCCATACTCTGCTTTTTTTTCCCTTTCTCTTTTGAGACACGGATTCTCTGTTTAGCTCTGGGTGTGGAGCAACTGTACATGTAGACCAGGCTAGCCTTGAACTCACAGAGATCTGCCTGCCCCCTGGGAGCTGGGGTTAAAGGCTTGTTAGATGTCCTGTTCATGGGTCCAGGTGAAGGTGTTCTCTCCTTTTCTTAGCCTGCGGTGCCTATAAGTTCTCAGACCTGTTTTCATCCTTTTTTGGTGTGTATGTAAGATGTGTGTGTGTGTGTGTGTGTGTGTGTGTGTAAATATTCATATTTATGTGAGTGCAGGCGTGTGCCTGCCACAGCAAATTCATCAACGTCAGAGGACTTCCCTTCTGGCATGGGTCCTCACCTCCACCTGTTTGAGACAGTCTCTCATTTGCTGCTGTATATCCCAGGCTAGCTGGCCTGGAAGCTTCCGGAGAGTCCCATCTTGCCTCCCATCTTACCCTAGGGACACTGGGAAGAGCACAAACACTCCCGTGTGTGGCTTTATGTGGGTTTTGTGGGCCCAAGCTCAGCTCCTCACATTCACACGTCATGCACTTTCACCAATGAGCTACCTTTCCCAGTCCCTGATAGGATTGACTGTGGTCATACAGCCCTGCGATTCTAGTTTCATTGATAAATTTGGAGGGTGGCATCTGTTCTGCGTTTAGGAATAAGTCATTCGTCAGCAGGTGCCTTGTGGGGATGCTGGACTGGACAGACGGTACTGATATGTCCACCAAGATGCAGAATCCACCTGCGTCTATCTCTGTACTCAAAATGGAGTTAATGGTTACTTGTAAAATGGAGTCTCTCAGGGCAAGGCACAGCATGAAAAACCTGTTTTGCATAATATGGGATAATTTAGGGCAGGACACAGCCCCCTCTCAACACCAGTGGTGTAGGAATTCACATTGAGCCCAGATTTAATAGTATAAAGAACTTTTCAATTAAGGCTTGATGTTTCCTTGTGGAGGTAACATGAAACATATATGAATCATTCAAATTACAATGACATGGCTTGTTTGAACTAATGGAAACATACATGAAATGTTATTTCTCCAGTGTCATGCACCGAGCACCTAATATCCTCACGTTATCTATCTCATTTATCATTCATATCATCCTGCTAATATAAGTATCCTTATCTTCATTTCACGCATGGTCAACTGACGTTCAAAGGTCAAGGGACTTATTACATATCACTTGGCAAATAATTTGTGCAGCCAGCTTCGCACGGAGGAGGAAGAGTCCAACAGCCATTTTGGACAGTCTGAACTTCTTACGACGGCATTACAGGAATGTACCAAGCCTGGTTTATGTGATTTTGGCTTCATGCATGCAAACACTTTAGCAATTAAGCTGTATTTGCAGTCAAGGTTTTGGAGATTGTGTGAGTGTTTGTGTGTGTATTGTGTGTGTGTGTGAAAAGAATGGTTTCCTATAGCCCAGGCTGACCCCAAACCCTAACTCAGCATGTAGCCCAGGCTGTCCTTGAACTCCTGATCCTTCTGCCTACACCTCTCACGTGCTGGGATCACAGGCATGTGCCACTACTCCAAGTTTTAGAGTTTAAACTTTTAGAGTTTGAGCTAGGGATGCCTTGGGGGAAATGGACAGAATCCGGTCTGGTGCACCATTCGGGCTTACTGGGGCAGGGAAGAATAGTGTAGAAGGTTGTGGTGACAGTCCAGATGCTGGAGATGGGAGTGACTTAAGCCTTTGTCCTGCCATGCTTCCGTTTCTAGAGGATCTCCAGCAAGCTCCAGCCACATTTGCCACAAACCGACTCCTCTCTAAAATGGTTGATAAACTAAGAATGAGAAACCTCCAGATTCTTCCAAACTCAAATCCTGCCTGATGCTTTTATATTTTAATGCATGCCAGGGATTTATATATGAAGGCCCTAGATACCATCCTGAACCGAGATGAGCACTCAGGTGTAATAATTCTCGGCATAATCCTCTTCTCAGAGTACAATAAAATAAACAGGATTATTTTTAAGAGTGTCTTTAAACCAGATTATACTGAGACAAACCCATCATTTCTGCATCCTTCTGTACACTTTGTTTAAGAAAATGATTTGGGAGCCGGGCGGTGGTGGCGCACGCCTTTAATCCCAGCACTCGGGAGGCAGAGGCAGGTGGATCTCTGTGGGTTCGAGGCCAGCCTGGTCTACAGAGCTAGTTCCAGGACAGGAACCAAAAAAAGCTACGGAGAAACTCTGTCTCGAAAAATCAAAAAAAAAAAAAAAAAAAAAAAAAAAAAAAAAAAAAAAAAAGAAAATGATTTGGGTATAGCTGTTGCCATAGTGGCTAATGGTATTACAATCAACTAAGAATATTACACTCTAAACAAATGAAATGATTTAAACCTATCTTGCCAAGAAATATTGTAAAAATATACTTAGGAAACATAAACCGCATTGTCACCAAATTAATTTGTTTTCTATGCTCAAATTTAATTTAAAAAGAGATATTTCTCTAACTGCTTCCAACAGCAGACTGTAAAGGGACTTTGAAGAGAGAACGCAGGAAATAAATATAGTAATGTTCAAGTAAATAACCAACACAATATCTATTCTGTTGCTTGTGATGTTTTTAGGAAGTATTTTTTAACAACCTCCTGAGGAATTTGCTCTTACTGGTGTGAAGCCAGGCTGGTGCTTTTTTTTCTCTTTCATCAGTGTGTTCTGGGATAAATCTATCCATTACCAAGACCTGCTAGATACCGGGTTTCTCCTATCTGGCCTTCATTTTTACTGACCAGAGGTTGGGGTTTCTATTCCTGGCTTGCTGAAAGAGCCTTTTCCTTAGTATAACGCAGAGGGCAGCGCATCTTCCTGAAATAAGGCTTTCATCTGGCCACTTCTCTGGTTAAAGCTTCAGGGATCCCATTTTTGACAGCCTAGCAAGGACACAGGTCATGGAACTCCCATTGTTTCAGCAGGCGAATGCATTAGCTTTCTTCACTGTCACTAACCTGCTACTTGGACTCCTTTGCCCGCCCTTTCTGCCAACTCACCGCCAACCCCCCTTTCCATTCTGTATTGAATTCACTTCCTTCAGGATGTTTTCCTCGCTTAGTAGCTACTTAGCAGATAAATAAGTCTTGTTTTTGAGCTTTTAATCACATTAAGTGCTTTAAAAAATAAATCGAGTCTAGGGATAAACAGCTTACAGAGATTTTCATTCTCTAAGAACCATCGAGGGTGACTTTGTCAAGAGAGAACTCAAATTTGCAAGCGGCTGTGTTTCCCTAAGTATCTACCCTAGAACCAGAGCAAATGACTCTTTATGGTGACCTCTAGCGGACACGGGGCAGTCCTACAAAATTACGAAAAGTAGAGAGGAAAGTAAAACCCTTCCTCAAGGTACTCCGTGGTCATAGGACCGAATCCTACCCCTTCACCCTTATATATTTTTTCTTCCAGTGTTTGTTTTGCATCCTAACATCATCTCCATTACATACAACTCACGTGTTTCTTGCCTTTGACGGGCTGGGCTGCCGGTGTCGGATGTGTGAACTGCTGTTTGAAATAATGTCTGCCAAGTCGAACCCCACTCCCCTTGGCTTTGCAGAGTGTGGTTGGTTTCACCAAGCTTTAAGACCGTCTCTGCTTTTGGAGGGTCGGTGCCGCAGTCGCACGGGGGTGCAAGGGGGGAGGGGAGGACTGGACAACGAGACAGCATGAAAAGGAGAATGCAAGACCGATGCAATGAGACATTCTGGGTTTTGCCAGTGAAAGATTCTCTCCGGACTGCCACCCCACTCCACGAGAGGCATCGTGAGAGCGATGTAGGCTCCCTTTCAGGACCTGAGGCTGGAAAAGAGAAGGGAGCCGGGGCGGGTCCGCCGGCCTCTGGAGTCGCGCGTGGAGCGGGTGGGGGTTGAGGGGCTGGGTGCGCGGCCGCCTTCGGAGCGCACCGCACGTGGGGCGCCCCACGCGCGGAAAGGAAGCGCAAAGTCGGCAAGCAAAGCCGCGACTAGGTTGCTTGCTTTGAGAAATATTTCAGGGCGGCCTTAGAAGCCGACCCGGGTACCGAACAGTCTCTGGCAATGGCTCATCCAGACGCCGTCTGCTCCCTACTCCCAATCTCGCACCTTGGTCCTCACCTCTGCACCCCTCCTTCCCGCCCCTCCTTTCGAGGACGGTTTAAAGGAACCTGAGAGAGGTGTGCAGGTCATCCCGATGGCCCCGGGGCTCCCCGCAGCCAGCATTACGCCCCACGCAGCCCTCCCGGCCACTGCGGGCGGGGGCGCACGGCGTCACGAGGCGGGGAGCCCGAGGTCCGGGGCGGGGCGCCGGGGAATCCCAGCCCGAGCGAGCCGGGAGGTGCGGGCGGGCGCGGGCAGGCAGGAGGTGCGCGCGGAGGGAGCAGAGGAGCGCGCGGAGCCGGCGGGCGAGGAGGAGGACGGCGAGGGAGGACGGTGAGGGAGGCCCCGCCCCCGGCTCCCGGAGCCCGCTCCTCGCCGCCGCTGAGCCCGCTCACTTTGCCTCTCGCCTCTGGACGGCTGCCGGGCTGCGTGCATCAGGGACCGGGGAGCCCTGCCCACGGCGCCTTGGCTACCGCGCGCCCTCCGGGAGGCCGGCACCGCCTGGAGCCGCGGACACCCACCGGGACTCTCGAAGAGCGAACCCCGGAGCGCGGGGCGGCGGCAGTGACACCGCGGGGGGATCCAGGCGGCGCGGGGCGCGAGCCCCTGGGGAGCGCGGGCCCCGACGGCGCGGCCACCCCGTGCGCTCGGTGGGCAGGCCCCCGGGGCGGCCAGCCATGACCTTCGGGCGCGGCGGGGCGGCCTCGGTGGTGCTGAACGTGGGCGGCGCCCGGTACTCGCTGTCCCGGGAGCTGCTCAAGGACTTCCCGCTGCGCCGCGTGAGCCGGCTGCACGGCTGCCGCTCGGAGCGCGACGTGCTCGAAGTGTGCGACGACTACGACCGGGAGCGCAACGAGTACTTCTTCGACCGGCACTCGGAGGCCTTCGGCTTCATCCTGCTGTACGTGCGCGGCCACGGGAAGCTGCGCTTCGCGCCGCGGATGTGCGAGCTCTCCTTTTACAACGAGATGATCTACTGGGGCCTGGAGGGCGCGCACCTGGAGTACTGTTGCCAGCGGCGCCTAGACGACCGCATGTCCGACACCCACACCTTCCACGCGGCAGACGAGCCGGGCCGCGAGCAGGCTCGCCCGGCCGGGTCCGAGGCGGCTCCCTCCCGGCGCTGGCTGGAGCGCATGCGGCGCACCTTCGAGGAGCCCACGTCGTCGCTGGCCGCGCAGATTTTGGCCAGCGTGTCCGTGGTGTTCGTGATCGTCTCCATGGTGGTGCTGTGCGCCAGCACGCTGCCCGACTGGCGCGCAGCGGCCGCCGACAACCGCAGCCTGGATGACCGGAGCAGGTACTCCGCCGGCCCTGGGAGGGAGCCCTCCGGGTAGGACGCACTGCTACTCTGCCCGTCCAGTCCGTCCCGTCCCGTCCGTTCGTTCGTCCGTGCTGTCCGTCCAGTCTCCGTCCTGTCTGCCTGGTGACCCTGCCAGGCTTGTTCCTGCCCCAGGAGACCCCTGGCGCTCCAACCCAGTGATGTATGGGTCCCCAACCCCGCCCCTCTTTCCCAGGCACAGCCAGGGTGTGCTTGGACCTCACCTTTTAGGGTAAAACCCCCAGGCTTTGTAGTTTAATTCTAAGCAAATAGCAATCTTCTAACTAGATTCCCTAAACTTTTATTGCTAATATGCAATAATTTACGCGATAATTCATTTTGAGCTAAGAGCACTTTGAAATATGTGCCAATACGGGTGGTGTTTGAAAAGATGATGTCTCGTTCCGTAGAAATGTGGTCTGCTGTACTGCCCATATATTCTGCACAGCCTTGGCATAATGTGTGCTGGGATGGAATTGCCGAATTCTGAAGGAGGCTAATTGAGCTTTAGACTCTGAATAATGGATGTCCGTGCCCTTTTCCTCCCTTCTTTCTGACCAAGTTACGGGCCTGGCAAATTCCTGTCCACTGTGTGGTATTAAAGATTTACGGTTTCATTCAAAGGGTCTTCAGTGTGGGGAAGAAAACAAAAATAGCCATTACTTTGGGAGAGAAGAAAAACTGAAACTTCCCCAAACCCAGAAGCAGGATTCAGTAGTTAAGTGTCTCCCCCACCCCCACCCTCCCTTACTAGGATGAAAGGAAAATACTTGAATCTTTCCTGGGTTCGTACTTACCTCTTAATGGCGATAACACGTTTCTGTTTTTAGAACAAGTGAGTTTATTTTGCATATTTGGTGGGAGGAATAAGCAGACTAAAGTTGGACTTTCAGAGGAGACGGCCATTTTGGGCATAAAACCCAAACTGTGCAATCTCTTTTACCCTTTGTTAAGAGTTCTTTGAAGGTTCCCCCTCTCCAGTCACTTTCTGTTTTAATTTTTTTTCCCTCCATTCACTCTGAAGTCCAGGTTGCACCCCGGAGTCTTCCTGATGGGTCTGGGTGTGCTAGAGACCCTGGTGTTTGTTTGTCCAGCAGTGGATAGCTTCTGGAGAATACTCTTCCTCTAGGGAGTGGAGCTTTCTGTATGCATCTTAGGAGTAACTACAAGGGGCTAGTAGCAGAGACCATTACCAGTATGCCACCTGGGTGTGAAATCCAAGATCGATGCTTGGAAAAGAAGTAAATCAGGAAACTCATTATAATGTTTTGTGTGTTTGGTTCTGTTTTCACATGACAGATAGGAATTATTTCCTTGGTGCCCCAAAAAGACAATGAAATTAACTTCTTTGAATAAATAAAGTGACCTTGATTTTTTGTGTTGGGGAACGTCATAAAAAATGAGCCCTGAGTTGACCGGCTTTGAAATTATTCATCAACAGATACAGAATTCAAAGGTTAGTGGTGGACCGAGCTCATCAGCAAAGCAAACAGGAGGGCTGTCTGATAAATACAGATTTTGAGGGAGTTGACTACATTGAGAGAAGTAAGCTAGAACAGGGAACTCAGTGAGTGGTTACTTTTTTTTTTTTGAAGGAAGGGGGGATTTTGGGGGAGAAAGATCATTCATGTAAAGCATTAGACTGAATACTGATTTTAGATAAAAAGAGAAACCAGGAACGGAAGCGGCAGAGATGGGGGAAGGGGCTGCAAAGGAAGGGAGAAAGATAGAGTAAGGCTTATTTGTGTATACGTATCTTAAGTACGTATATAATTATTCAAGTCAAACTGTTTCCTAGATACACAGATATTTCAGGCAAATGCATGTTTTTCTTGCCTTAATGGCCCAGTTTTAAGGTTTTCCCTGGGAGTGTAGGTATAAGAAAGCCAGTGTCTGTAATCCCAGATCACACGGATGAGGATGTCGCACTTGGCACAGGAAGCCTCCGCTGGCATTTTATAGTCTCTCAGTCCCTGCCAGCCTGTGGCAGCTACCGTGAGGCTATATCCTTTTGCTCCTTTGACCAGGAATCCACTAAGTAAAGCCAAAGTCACCTCCTTCCCCTTGGAGACGTGCCATTAACGGTAACCTGCTAGGCAAGTGTCCGCTACTTATTTATGGCGCGGCCTCCCAGCTCACCAATCTTGTTTCATCTCATCACAATCTGTCACTTGAGTATTCCACTTGCTCACTCGCTGCAGCTGTGACTTCCAAATACTGTAACTTTCTTGTGAAGAAAAGTTGATGCAGAACTCAGAGGCACAATGGGTTTCCAAGAGTTGAGTTATTCTGAGAAAGCCTTCAAGGTCACGGAGGGTGGAAACAAGCCATCCTCGAAAAGTGGTGCACTGTCCGACACTGGCAGGGGGGTGTCACTTATATAAACTGGTTTATGCAACCTGCACCATCCTGTGTCTTGCTTGAGAACAAAATAGAGTTTTCCAGCAAAAGGAACAGCGTGGGCATAGGCATGAAACTTGTATGTTATGTTTAGGGAGTGAGAATCCAGTGATAGCGCGTGAGGTGGCTGGAGAGTATGTTTGAATAATGTGAAGAACTCTACTTTGCAGCCATGGCTACCTCTCGGTTGGTTTGTGTCATCTGTGCCGAGGCCTTATCTGTAGAAAGTAGAGAATGTGTTAAGTATGTACCGTGGTTGGAGAGGGAGGAGATTGGACCCAGGAAAGATGACTAGGCGTGGAGGCACACAGCTGTCATTCTTCCACTCGCGTTCAGTGCAGAAGGGTCAGGAGCTGGAGCCTGTGATCCATCATAGGGAGACCTGAGCTACATCACAGTAAGACCCTGTCCCCCGAAAGGAGCAGGGGGCTGGGGACGTTAGTTCAGTTGTACAAAAGCCCCTGGGTTCGATCCCCAACCCTGCAAAAACAAAAAAGAGTTCGGAAGTCTTCGCTAGGGGTTCAAGAGCTTGTGAGAATAGAGACCAAATAACAACTCTGGACTATACGAGGAAGAAGTGAGATTCTTCAGAGCAGTGTAAAGATGGAAGCCCCAGGCCAGGCTGATTCCGGGAGCTGGGAACACTCAGTACCTCTTCTCTGTCGAGTCTGTCCTGATCATTTGTCCCCAAGATGCCTCCGTGCCCCTCACAGTGCAGTTGCCAACCCCATGAAATGATCATTCAGGCTCAACTTAGGTTCTCTTCAAAGCCTTTATGGGGAGATGTTCCCTCCCAACCCTGAGAGGTTGCTAGTTTGTACTGTTTATATGTCATTTGTCACGACCTTCCTAGATGGCATTTCCTTGTAAACACATTGTAGCTCCTATGCTAGATTTGAAGAAAAGTCCTTGGAGGCAGGTAAACTCATTCATATCCCCCCACCACCATTTTTAAAAAAGATTTATTTATTTAATGTGCACTGGTGTTCCGACTGTATATACTCTGTGAGAGGCTGTCAGATCCCCTGGAACTGGAGTTACAGACAGTTGTGAGCTGTCACGTGGGTGCTGGGAATTGAAACAGGATCCTCTGGAAGAACAGCCAGTGTTCTTAACCACTGAGCCATCTCTCCAGCCCCCCTCCCCCTGCCATCTTATTTTCAAGACAATCTTACGTTGCCTAAACCAACAATTTTCCTGACTCAACCTCCTTAGTCCTGAGATCACAGGTGTGTAACATGCCAGCTCGGAACATGCTTTCCCTTCCTTAGGGGGCTTGGGGTAGCTGGATATTGAGACAGCATCTCCTGTGGCCCAGGGTGGCTTGAGATTCGATTGTATCCAAGGATACACTTTAAGGTGTTCGTCTTCCTGCTTAACTTGACCTCCCACATGCTGGGATTACAGGCCTGTGCTACCATACCTGGCTGGGAGGGGGTAGAATGTGCACACACACAGAGGTGTGGGGGGGGGTGTGGGTGTGTGTGGGTGTGTACTACCATACCTGACTTGGAAGGGGGTGGAATGTACACACACACAGAGGTGTGGGTGTGTGGGTGTGTACTACCATACCTGGCTTAGGGGGGTGGAAGGTGCACACACAGATGTGTGTGGCTGTGCATGTGTGTGTACGGGTGTGGGTTTGTAGTACCCCATACTTAGCTTGGAAGTTGGATGGTGCACACACACAGGTGTGTTTAAGCATGTATGTGTGTGTGTACAGGTGTGTGTGTACTACCATACCTGGCCGGGGGGAGTGAAATGTGCACACACAGAGATTTGTGTGGGTGTGTACAGGTGTGTGTGTGCACACACATGTGCAGGTTATGTGTTCAGAAGTGTATGTACAGGTGTGTACACAGGTGTGTGTGCGTGTAGAAACCAAAAATTGATGTAAGATGCCTTCTTCAGTCACTTTCCACCTTTTTTCGATTTTTGAGACGGAGTGCTGTGGGATAATGGTCTGTACCCTATCACTTGTATTTTAACTAAACATTGATTGGCTAGTAGCCAGGCAGAAAGTAGAGGCAGGCGACCAGGCAGGAAGTAGAGGCGGGGCAACAGTAATTCTGGGAAGAGAGAAGTTGCAGTCTACAGTCATCACCCAGACAGAGAGGAAGCCAGACACAGAGCAAGCAAGATGTGACTGCCTCGCCGAAAAAGGTACCAAGCCACAGACAAGAATTATGGGCTAATGTAAGTTATAAGAGTTAATAAGAAGCCTGAGTTAATATGCTAATCAGTTTACAATTAATGTAGACCACTGTGTGATTTCTTTGGGACTTAACGACTGTGGGAACCGGGCAGGACAGAAACCCCTGTCAACAGATGGTGACCAACATGTGGACAGCTGCATCCACAGAGAACCTGAGAGAGCTTGGGAACTAATTCTACACACAAAATAACAGCATTAAACATGGCTTCTTGGTAGCAGCAATTTCTCGGGCTTGCTCTCTTTGGTAGAGGCAAATACTCTCATTTAAGAGAAGCTTCCTGACTCAACTTTAGCTACAAAACCTTGCAGCTCTTTAAAGAGGTTCTGCTACAAAACACTTAACTGGTGTTGATGAAAAGCTGGCTGTGCGTTTTTGGTGTGGCAGGGACCTTGAAAT